CTATCTTAGCACAGGGCGTTAGGAAGTCGTTAAAGGGTGAAGCTTGTAGAGCTGTCCTTTTGCTTGGTGAACATGCATCAGTGGATGATATTTGGAGTAAGCTTGACAGTATTTATGGTGTTGTTAGTTCAGCTGATACGTTGCTGCAGAAATTTTTTCACTGATTGCCAGAAGGAGGGTGAATTGTTGGCAACTTGGTCCTGTAGACTTCAAGATACTTTGTTGAAAGTTAAATCTAAGGGTGACTTTATACATGAGGATGCTCTTGAGTGTATCTTGAAAACAAAGTTTTGGAGTGGTATAAGGAATGATAGACTGAAGGATGCAACAAGGCATAAGTTTGATAACTGTTCAGATTTTGATTCTTACTCAGAGTTGTCAGGGAAACAGAACAGGAACTTACTGGATCTGTTAAGGTCAAAGATGTTAGACACAAGAAAGTGTATTCTAGTTCTCAAGTTGTTGATTCAGATGTTTCTCAACACTTAAAGGATATTCTCAAGAGAATTGATATCTTAGAAAAGAATCAGAAGGCGTTGAAACAGTCTACTTCATCGAAGCTAGAAAAGATGTCAGTGAGGTCGTACAGAGGTTAGCTGCTATTGAAAGTAAAGTTGGTCTATCTAATCCTTCAGGTAATCCTCGTGGACATGGTCGAGGTAAATACAGAGGTCGTGATAGAGGAATTATTGGTGATCATGGTCATACAGATTTAAACCATTAAAGACTTCTGTTGAGGAGCAAACAGTTGTCGGTGAACGTGATCGCTCCAATGACTTGTTTTCTAGAATGGTAGGCCCTAGTGTACAAACTGTTGTTCTTGTCAATTGCGATGAATGTCTTGTAATGCTAGATACTGGATCTCAAGTTACTACCGTCTCAGAGTCTTTCTACTATAAGAACTTAAGTGATCTTAGGTTACGTCCCATAGAAGAGTTTCAGTTGAAGGTTAGCATCGCTACTGGTGATATACTCCCGTACATTGGCTATATTGAACTCTTCGTTGGTGTCCCATTAAATGATAGAACTTACATGATACCAGTGTTGGTAGTCAAGGATACCGAGTTTAGTGCCCAGGTTCCGATGATTCTTGGTACAAACACTATCAGATTGTTCTATTGTAATGCACCCCAGATTGTCTGAGAGCCTTGGCAGATGGTATTTGATTACTTAAGCTCGGCTAGTTTAGGTAATAGGTACTGTCAAGTCAATAGGAGTAAGCATCCTATTACTCTGCAACCTATGGTGGCGACCACTTTGAAGGGTATACTAGTCCAGGTAAACACTGTGCTGTGACGGAGCAGTTACAGATTAGCCCTGAGGGTTTAGGTGTTTGTCCTAGAGTTGTAGAAATTGATGGTCAGCGTAAGACTGCTACTGTCTATGTCAAAGTTTGCAATTTATCTGCTAGAACTATTACACTTCCTCGCAAAGCAGAGCTATGTAGTTTGCAAGAGGTTCAGGTTATGGATTGTTTGCCTTTGGATTTGGAAGATGATAGTGTTGATTCTTCAGTCGGTGCTATGGATGAGAAGCCTGTTACTATTGATTTAGCAGATAGCCCCTTGTCTGGTAATCAAAGAGGTCAAGTACAGGATATGCTTAGTCGGTGGACAGATATTATGTCTCAGCATTCTCTAGATTTGGGCCATACTACAACAGTTAGACATGAGATCAATCTTATGGATGATGTGCCTTTCAAGGAACCATACCGTAGAATACCCCGGCTTTATTTGAGGAAGTTAGGCAACATCTTAAGAATATGCTTGAGTGTGGAGCCATTCGTGAAAGTCATAGCCCCTATTCTTCAAATATTGTCTTGGTTCGTAAGAGGGACGGCAGTCTAAGAGTATCCATTGACATGAGAAAGATTAATGCTAAAAGCATTCGGGATTCCTATTCCTTGCCAAGGATTGACAAAACCTTAGATTGTCTTGTTGGATCAAAATGGTTTTCAAAGCTTGATTTAAGTTCAGGTTACTGGCAAGAAGAATTACGTGAATCGGATAAGAAGAAAACAGTATTTTCTGCAGGTCCCTTGGGATTTTTTGAATGCAATAGGATGCCTTTTGGTTTGACCAACGCCCCAGCAACGTTTCAGATGTTAATGGAGAGATGTATGGGCGATTTACACCTGAAAGAATGTTTGATATATCTGGATGATATAATCATATTTTCACAAACTTTTGAACAACACTTGACCAGAGTTGAATCTGTATTTCGAAGGTTGTGGGAACATGGTTTGAAGTTAAAGCCGTCCAAATGTGAAATCTTCAGAAACAGGGTCAAGTATCTTGGACATGTTGTATCCTCAGAAGGAGTAGAAACTGATCCAGATAAGGTTGAATCCTTGAAATCATGGCCAGTTCCTGAAACTGTCAAGGAGTTGCAGAAATTTCTAGGTTTCACTGGTTATTACCGTCGGTTCGTTCAGAATTATGCGAGAGTGGCCAAACCTCTGACTGATTTACTTCATGGAAAACTGGAGAAAGGTAAAGCCAAATCTAAGTCAAAGTTATAACGGACTTTTGAACGTCAAGTAGCTTTTAATCAGCTGATAGAGTGTTTAACTTCACTTCCAGTCCTTGCGTATGCTGATTATTCAAAACCCTTTATTCTCAATATAGATGCCAGTAGTGAAGGTTTTACGGGGCAGTTTTGTATCAGCACCAAGATATGCTAGTCATGCATTGAGGAAATCAGAGAAAAATTATCCAGCACATAAATTGAGTTTCTGGCACTAACATGGGCTGTGTGATAAGTTTCATGAGTATCTATATGGCAATCATTTTGAGGTTAGAACTGATAATAATCCCCTCACATATGTCTTGTCAACAGCCAAGGTAGACGCGACAGGGCACAGGTGGCTTGCAGCATTGTCAACATATGACTTTAAAATTATCTATCGTGTAGGAAAAGCTAACAAGGATGCAGATGCTTTATCTCGTCACCCAAACTTTTCTGCTACAGATATTCAGTCCAATGTTGTTAAGGCTATTTGTGGTTCTCAGTTTGTGAATATGGTTGAATGTTTGGCAACTTCACCAGATGTTGTGGAGGAAAGTACTGTTCCTTTTAGGAATGTAGATTGGGTCTTAGAACAGTCTAAAGATCTGGAGGTTGGCAAAGTGATCGATTTTGTCACAAAGGGAAGAAAACCAACTGCTCGTCTAGTTTGCAAAGAATCCGATGGAGTTCATAGGCTTTTAGGACAGTGGAAGAAACTTGTGGTTAGGAATGGTGATTTATACAGAAAAAAGTTCCCTCAAGGTGATTTGAGATATCAACTTGTATTGCCAACACAATGGAGGAAATTAGTTTGGGATGCGCTACATGATGACATGGGACATCAGGGTCGAGACAGAAAAGTAGATTTAGTTCAGTCCAGGTTTTATTTGCGAGGGTTGTCTACAGATGTCGAAACAAAGATCAGGCTTTGTGGTAGATGTATTCGCAGAAAATGTTCTCCTAATCAAGTTGCAGCTCCACTTGTGAATATTTCTACAAGTCAACCTATGGAATTAGTTTGTGTAGATTACCTTTCGCTGGAGGAAGCAGGTGGATGTGGGAATATTCTCGTGATTACGGATAATTTTACGAGATTTGCACATGCAGTTCCCACAAGGAATGAAACAGCTACTACAACAGCTAAGGCATTATTTGATTTCTTTCTTCACTATGGGTTTCCAGCACAGCTACATAGTCATCAAGGTCGCAATTTTGAGTCAAAGGTTATCAAAGCCCTGTGTAAACTGGCTGGCACTGTCAAGACTAGCACATCGCCATATCACCCAATGGGAAATGGAATGGTAGAGCGATTTAACCAGACTTTACTCAAGATGTTGGGTACCTTGGAGGAAGATAAAAAGGCAGATTGGAAAATGTATGTTCCAACATTAGTACATGCATACAATGGTACCAGGCATGATAGCACTGGTTATTCACCATTCTATCTGATGTTTGGGCGACATCCCCGTTTGGCTATAGATGCTTTCCTTGGCATTAATCCAGATGACATGCAAGAGCAGTCAGGTGTCGAGTATGTAGCCAGGTTGAAGAAAAGGTTAGACTATGCTTATAACATTGCTTCCACAGAGTCCAGTAAAGCTGCAAGCAGACACAAAAAGAGATATGACAGGAGAGTAAGGGAAGCAGTTCTTACAGAAGGAGATAGAGTACTTGTGAAGAACGTTGGTCTACGAAGAAAGCACAAATTGGCAGATTTCTGGTCCAGTGACCCATATACAGTTGTCAGTCAGCCAAATAAGGACATACCAGTATATGTGGTGAAAAGAGAGAATGGAAAAGGTAAAGTAAAGACATTGCATCGAAATATGCTACTACCTTTTATGTCTCTACCTGGTCCAGATGTGACCATGTCTGCACAGCACACAAGAACACAACTCAAGGAGATAGATTTTGAAGATATTTCTTCTGAAGATGAAAGTGAGTGTGAGGATTTAGTTCCATTTCTCTATATTGGAGATCACCAAGGTAACCCAGAGGTTTCTATCACTTAAAAATCTGTCGAGTTGGATCATGCTGACTCTCATATTTTGGATCAACCAAGTTCTTCAAATACAGAAACTGTAAAAAGCACTGAAGAGGCTACTGTAAATGAAATTTCAGGAATTGTTTTGAATTCTGAACAGAATTCAACCGGTTCTCCCCAAGATTGTATTCTTGATCCGGGTGCCAGTCCTCTTATTCCTCGACGTTCAGGTCGTGAAAGGAGGCCACCAGACTGGTTCAGGAGTGGTGCGTATATTTTGCAGCAAAATGATGAAAATGATGAAATATTTGTATAATTCCCAATTTCATTTCAGGAATTATTCTTTTAAAACATGTAGTAATGTTTGAAGTTTCTAATGTATTTCAGATGTTTTATAATGTCGAGGACGACATTTTCCTGAGGAGGGGAAGGTGTCAGAGGTTGAATTGTTCACACAATGTACAGCACAGCACACCTGGCACATTTTACAATTTTTGTCCCTAACAGCTTGCCATACAGATGAGCTGGCTGCCGGCAGGTAATTCCTGGGCTCTGGCACATGCTGCTCCTGCAGGCTGTGCACTCAGGTGATATAAAAGCTGCATGTGCCATGTGCCCGGCACACACCATGCTGGCAGTGGCAGCCCTTCATGTAATTTCCCTAATTACAGGTACGCAAGTTTGTTTGAATAGTTCATATTATAACAATTTCTCATAATTAAGTCAGGTGTAACCCTGTATTTAAATAATAACATTTAATGGTTTAGTAACCATTAACTTAAATAATTATTTATATATAATAATTATGTAAAATGTCACAATAGTTTTACTTGTTTTGATTTATAAAGACACACCATGCTGGCAGTGGCAGCCCTTCATGTAATTTCCCTAATTACAGATTTATGGCACGGTCGTGTTTGACCAACCTCAAATGGCAAATGGCAGAATAAAGAGATTGAACACCAGCCCAGTGGTCGTATTATAAAACCCTGCGACAATATGTCAAAAGGATTCAGTTTTAAAGGACTTACAACAACAGTAGAAATGACTAAGAATCTTGGCCATGATTCTTTAGTTAGTAGAGAGGTGTCTTCATCGGACGATGAGGAAAGGTGTCTTCTCTTATTTGCTTTCAAGGAACAAGTGAATGTGTTGTGAGCCATAGTATTATAGTAGAATTCAAGACGCCTGCTCCCTAACCCAATATGGAGTGTCAACTTGGACGGAGTGGCAGCGGAAGCCAGCCTGCAACAACAGGGCTACGGGCGTGGTATATTCCAGCCCATAGCGACATGAATAGCAGCATCAGATAAGGAATATCTCCAGTATACGCCACTTATTAACAACTACGCAACACACCATCTTGTAAGATCTATGGTGTTGTCCCCTCGGACTACTGCAACAGTTTGCTTTGAACAAAGACCTGCTCTCCAGGTTGCAAAAAAGTCCAATATGCAGCTGCCAGTTTGATCTGCAGAACCACCAAGCACAGACACATCTCCCGATCCTCATGCGTCTGCACTGGTTACCACTCCCAGCCAGGATAGAATACAAGATACTTAACAATGCAGCTCCATCCTATCTCTCTAGTCTTGTCAGAGAGTACGTTCCAACCAGGACTCCTTATATTGTAAATCGTGCTACTGGTGCATAACGTCACCGAGTACCACGGTTATAATGGTGTGACACTCGCGGAAAAGAGAGTAATACCGCGAAACGCGTAACACGAACTACAACAGACCTTCTTGGTTAAATATACAATGTCAGCACACTCGGATGTAGGTCAACCCTCGCAGAAGCCGCCGAGGGTTTCCGGAGATTGCCGATGTAACGACATTGACATTCACTACACTCTCCCTTGTTTAACAAAGACCCTCAATATATTTATTTTAATAGGAAGGGTGCCACACCGCTTCTTAAACCAACCTCAAACTAAATTTTAAAATATCACAAATAACTAAGCACACTCACCCTATCACCTCCCGGCAGAGGGTAACTCGCTACTCCCGGTAAGATACACACAATCCCGGCAGAGGATAACTCGCTACTCCCGGATAGATACACACTCCCGGCAGAGGGTAACTCGCTACTCCCGGATAGATACACACAATCCCGGGAGAGGGTAACTCGCTACCCCCGGTTAGATACACACAATCCCGGCAGAGGGTAACTCGTTACTCCCGGATAGATACACACAGTCCTGGCAGAGGGTACCTTGCTACCCCCGGTTAGATACACACAATCCCGGCAGAGGGTAACTCGCTACTCCCGGATAGATACACACAGTCCTGGCAGAGGGTAACTCGCTACTCCCGGATAGATACACACAGTCCTGGCAGAGGGTAACTCGCTACCCCCGGTTAGATACACACAATCCCGGCAGAGGGTAACTCACTACTCCGGGTTAGATACACACAATCCCGGCAGAGGGTAACTCGCTACCCCCGGTTAGATACACACAATCCCGGCAGAGGGTAACTCGCTACTCCCGGATAGATACACACAGTCCTGGCAGAGGGTACCTCGCTACCCCCGGTTAGATACACACAATCCCGGCAGAGGGTAACTCGCTACTCCCGGATAGATACACACTCCCGGCAGAGGGTAACTCGCTACTCCCGGATAGATACACACAATCCCGGCAGAGGGTAACTCGCTACCCCCGGTTAGATACACACAATCCTGGCAGAGGGTAACTCGCTATTCCCGGTTAGATACACCTCTCTTTCCTCTGCTACTTCAGAAATACGCGCCTTCCGTTGGCAGTGCAGACCTCGATGAGTTCCCTTGGCGACATGTGGAAGTGCCCTGCCAACTTCTGTGAGACGTTCCCAATGTAGTGCGGTAAATTGCATCGCACATTGTTGGTAACACCAAGGCATGGTGAGTCCGTCTCCAGGAGGAGGTTGTCCTTTGGGATGGCTGGGAGAGCCTCTTGCTGGCTTGCCCTCACCCGTCAACAAAAGCAGTTGACACTGAAGAGTGTGTTGGGGAAGGCCTTCAGGTTCCCATGAAAGCAGTGGAGCACGGTGGTCTGCTCTGCGAAACGAAACCGACCAACCAGTTCACGCAGCCTGGAGTATAAATCTTCTGCCAGGTCGTCTACGTGTGCTCCTCGGACGTGGAATATGAGGGGTAAGCCCTCCCTCGTATTTCCCAGAATTGTCTCTAGGAGCTGATGTTGGTTTTCTAGATGTTGGTGCCCATCCATGAGGTCGTAGACGATCTCTCCGATGGCTGACACTCCTGGTTCAGCACACTGCCTGATGAATTTTGATACGAATCCGGGCGATGCCTCTGTGATCTTGCAAGGGTGTATCCCCAGGGACACCTTCCAGAAAGGCCGTGTTGGTATGGACGCTGGCCACATCCCTGGGTCACAGAAGCATGTGACGCCACCCACCAGCTTGACCGGGTAACTTGGAGCCTGTACTGGAGTCCAATCCTCGAGAGTGTCTAATGGAGACTCAACAGTCGTATCCCGGAACAGCCACCTGCAGGTCCTATCCGCGTGGAAATGGCTGTCGAATGCTTCTGGGAGGTCCTCATCAGCGGGTGGAATGGATGATGGTAAGTCAGTGGTTTCCATGGCATCAGACGGGAGCCTCTCTGCATCTAACTGCTGACCTGGGTCTTCCTCAGGTGGGAGCCACTCCACACTGTCAGCCTTAGGTACATTATCTCGGAACAGGTCTGCAATCAAGTCGCGCCGGGCTGGGGAAAGGTAGTTAATTACAAGGGCCAACCACCTTGGGTGTAGGAGTGCAGCTGGTCCGGCACCACAAGAAATGTCGCTGCTGTTGATCTGACTCCACCCGGCTGCCGAGCAAAGGCCTCCAAGGCAACCTGAGTATCTCTGAAATTCAGCCCTCGGAATTTCGTGACTTACATTCAAAACTGTCATCAACTCCTCCGGTGTCCCGTATCGCTGCCCAAGCAGCCACAGTGCTAAAGTTTTGAAGATGAACAGGCATGGCTGGATGATGTCCTGTTATCGATCCCCAGCCCAAAACTGTCCGATACAGGGCGGTACATGAACAGCAAGTAGATGGCTGTCCTGGTCCATGATGGGGGCCCGGCAATTGTGTATGATGCATTTAGATGTTGCAGCTGCAGATGCTGAACTGCATGTCCCATTTGTATCGCCAACATGGTCCACCAATGGGAGGGGGAGGCCACCTCGCCCCTCATCCGTTGATGTCTGTGACGTGATGGTTGCATCCCCCGTTGTTGCCAGAAGGAGGTCACCTCGACCCTTGTCTGTTGATGCCTAGGGAGTGCTAGGGATAACCCTCGATGTCAGGGGGAGGCATCTTTGCCCCTGAATCCCTTCCTGTCCCCCTTCAACATGTGGTGTCTTCGCTGATGTTTCCTGTCGCCCCCTCGAAGTACCATCCCTCCGGCGTTTCGGCTGCTGTTCGACTCTCTTGTCTGAGGACCGGTAGAACACCTGGCTGGGAATTTGATGACTGCGCTGACCTCTGAGCTGAGAATCCTGGCGGTCGTCTGGATGAGGGTGCCGTTGCTCTTTACAGTGAGGGCTGGGACGGTCCACTATGCTGGGGCCACAGTCTTGGTGGAGAGGGCTCCGGTGATCTGGGCTGCAGCTTCGACGATTTCTGCTGGAACACAGGTGGCCCCGCGGAAAGCTTTGATGATCACGCTGACCACACTGAGGGTGTTGATGGAGTTGCTGGGGGCTCCGGTGATCTTGACTCTGGCTCCGACGGTCGCAACGAGGGTTCAGACGATCATGACTGGAATTTCGTCAACAGCTCAGATTCCCTGAGTCCCACAGGAATCTTGGAGGGTGTCTCTTGGGCGGAGAAAGCCTTGGCCAGTCCCTGTCGCTCAGCAGTTGACGGGATGGCATCCCTCAGTGTTGTATTACCTGGAATCACAGTGAACATCAATATATAGGTCATATGCCACAACTGGCGCCACGCCGAGCCGCAACCACAACCCGCCAGACGTTGGAATTACTGACGATCTGGAGAATTGAGTTTACAAGCATCACAGAAATATTCATCAATACCGCGAGCGTCACACTCTCTTATGCCGACACACAAGCCGTGGTACCAGGTGTCACATCCGTCGCATCCGTCGCATCCAATCATGAAACTGCCATCATACGGTTGGTGGCAGATACAGTAGATTTGGTCGTCACCGTCATCAGTTTCAGGATCTACTATGGGAACATCTCAGTTGGGCAGATGTATCCCTAGCTCCCTATCACAGTAACGGAAAACCCACCGTTGGATTTCATCGCCCTGAAATAGTTTCAGTCGATCGTGGTTAGCTACCACCGTTGTCGTTTTCATCTTGATTCAGTAGAGAGAGGAAGGTAGTTTCTCAATTACCATATAAGAACCCTTCCAAGGAGCACTGAGCTTCGATTCTTCCCCTTGACGACTGCTGTGTCTAAGGTGAGAACTAGGTCACCAGCCTTGTACTCCCTTGTTAGGATCTTCAAATCGTAATCACTCTTCATCCGAGCTTGGGTAGTCCTGAGATTTTCTCGGGCCAGTTTGTGTGTGGCTAGAAATTATTCTTGCAGATCCCGAGCGTACTCGTGTGGATTTGTTCCCTGAAGAGGCTTCGGCCTGTACATCAAGTCTGCTGGGTGGTTAACTTCCCATCCCATCTCATTCTGTTGGGTGTAAATCCGCGTTCTGTTGACACATGCTCTCATTGAACTGGCCAGCTGGGGTAGGTGTTCATCCCATCTGTCTTAAGAATCCTGAACGTAACACCCCACACAATCCATGGGAGTATGGTTAAAGAATTCCACTTTGAGGAAGGTCGGTAAGGGGTTGTCCTATTTTTATGATGCCTAGGACCTTACAAACTGAAGCGAACAAATGACTTGATCACTGAACAATTGATTTGGGTATCCAAAGCAGGTGAAGAATTGGTCAATCATTGCTCGAGCAGTAACTTCGGCAGTTTGTGATGGGAGGGGAAT